TATAGCCTTTCCTTTTTGATCTTCTCCTTCCTGAGCCTCCTCTTTCTGAGCCTCTTCTTCCAGAGTCTTTTCTTTTTGAGCCTCTTCTTCCTGAACCATTCCTTCCTGATCCTCTTCTTTCTGAGCCTTTTCTTTTATAGCCTTTCCTTTTTGATCCTCCTCTTTCTAAGCCTCTTCTTCCTAGCCTTTTCTTTCTGAGACTTTTCTTTCTGAACCTCTTCTTCTTGAACCTCTTCTTCCTGAACCTCTTCTTTTTGAGCCTCCTCTTCCTCAACCTCTTCTTCCTGAGCCTCTTTTTCCTGAGACCCCTCTTTCCTGAACCTCTTCTTCCTGATCCTCTTCTTCCTGAGCCTTTTCTTCCTGAGCCTTTTCTTCCTGATCCTTCTCTTTCTGAGCCTTTTCTTTCCTGAGCACGGCAGTCAAAGGCATTGTACAATCTCATGCTCTTCAAAACAGAGGAAGTTCTGACCTTTTTCCTCACCCAGGCGTASCCAGACCCAGCCTAAACCAGAGTCCTGCTCCTGATCTGGGAAAGGCAGCACAGCTTGAGCTGCTGGAAAGTAAAAATCACTGATCCAGTGAGGTGATCCCATTCCTGACACAGGCACRGAGCGGGAAGGTGGCATTTCCAGAGCCTTTGCAGTTTTGCTCCTCAAAGGAAAGCAGCTCTGCARTGGTGTCACCAATTTCTGGCCTTTTCCTCCGTCTGAGGACACTCTCAGCTGTGCCATGACTTGTTTTTCTCAGGGGTGACTGCTCAAGCTCTAATAGAGATTTCTGGGGAGGCAAACGACAATTGCAAATTTGCTGGAAGAGACACAAATGGCATTTTTTCTGGCTGCCCCTGAAACCCTTGCCTTTCTTGCAGAGCACAGATTTTGCTGGGAAGCAGGACTTATTTAGGGATCAAGGACAAAGAGCATCTCAGCAGATTTTTCTCACTCTTTCAAGCTCGAAAAAAAAAAAGTTTTATATAAATATATACACACAAACACATACATCTTGCTTTGCTGGCTGTGGCAGCAGAATGCAAAGCCCATGAAATTACATCTTAGACAAGCCTCAGCTTCTAATTAGCACAAAATTCTGTGCACAGAGCACGATTGCCAAGGGTGCCCTGGAGCAGGGAGGGAAAGCTSTGCCCCAACCCACCCTCCTGGTAACACAAAATCCCTAAAACCACCTTCCCCTGCTGCACTGCCCTGCAATTASTTTGGTATCTTTATCTCCTCTCTCATTTAGGGGAGGGAGCCGATGTCACATCTTGTTCAGGAGATGGGGGAACATCTGTGGAGCTGCTGGAACACGCTGGGAGCTTTTCCCTTTGCTCGTTCTGATCTCCTGAGTGAGCAGCAGAGATGACTCCACGACTCAGGAAACCTTTGGGGAGGGCCTGAGCTCCTTCAAACACCCCTTGGGGCTGCCCAGATAATGAAATGATGGGAAAGTTGCTCCATAAATCCATCCAGATCTTCTCACCAGAGGAAGACACCAAGAACTCAGTGAGGATGAGGATGTAGAAGTAATGAGGTGAGAGACAAACCAAGAACATCTACAGCACTGGTTTTTGTGCTGGGACGAGGATTCAGTTCTTTGCTGGGATCAGGATTCAGTTCTCACTGCTATGATCCAGTCCCCCCTGGTTACCCCTGATATTCTGATCACTCAGAATATTCCAGCTTTGTTTTTACATCTTCATTTTCATGAGGTTCCCCATYGTTTTCTGGTTTCTGTTACAGAAAAATGACCCGGCCCGGTTTCACCGTGGCTGCAGAAACCCCTGGCAAGCTTTCAAATCCATCCAATTGTGTCTTCCAAACTGGAACCATTTCCTTTGAATACTTTTGAGCTCGTAGACACCAGCTGGGCTAAAACTTGAGGTCATTTCAGGACAGGCAGGGACAGACAGGCCCAACCTGTGCAGGTGAGCACACAACGACGTTATCTGTGATCAGAAAGAGCTTTCCTGCACTGAGCAGCAATAAAACCAAATTTAGGGTCTRGTTTGMCCTTCTGMAGACATTTAAGCCCAGMTTTAGGCCRGGCTGAGCAGATTTTTGCCGAGGGKTGGCCATGCAGYGATGTCCAGGCTGTCACACGTYGCTCTCCTCTGTCCAGGCTCATTTTTTGGGTGTGACACAGGCTGTGCTCCTGTTCCCCTGGGTTAAACATAACCCACCTGCTTTTTGTCCCAACTGAGTGATAATGAGGGCTGATAAAAACCTCAGCAAGGGGGGAAATGCAGGAGGGGAGGATTGGAGCACATCTCCAGCCTCGCTCTGATGTCTCCATTTGTGCTCTGCCATCCTGGGCTGATGGAATCCCTGCCTAATGAAGAAACATCGATGGTGGCACAGTCCATTAGCTCTGATTGAGCCAATCCATTCCATCCCTCCCAGGCTCTGAGGGAGGATCTGGGTCTCTGCTTGGCTTCAATCACCTCCTGCCTCCCCCACCAGGCACAGGCAGCTTCCTTCTGCCTCCTGCCAAACCTGCCTGGGCAAAGGCGCTTCCCTCACCAAAATCCTTCTGTGCCTGATTCCAGCATCCCTGCCTTCCCCAGGTGGAACAGGGACACCTGGGTGGCCTGGGAGTCACCCGGAATGGTCTGGGAGTCACCCTGGATGGCTTGGGAGTCACCTGGATGGCCTGGGAGTCACCTGGATGGTCTGGGAGTCACCCTGGATGGTCTGGGAGTCACCCTGGATGGCTTGGGAGTCACCTGGATGGCCTGGGAGTCACCTGGATGGTCTGGGAGTCACCCTGGATGGTCTGGGAGTCACCCTGGATATCCTGGGAGTCACCTGGATGGCCTGGGAGTCACCCTGAATGGTCTGGGAGTCACCCTGGATAGCCTGGGAGTCACCTGAATAGCTTGGGAGTCACCCTGGATGGCCTGGGAGTCACCCTGGATGGCCTGGGAGTCACCTGGATTGTCTGGGAGTCACCCTGGATTGTCTGGGTGTCACCTAGGTGGCCTGGGAAGGAGGGATTCTGGTGGTCACTGCGTGTTCAGGGCTGCAGCTCTCGGGCAGGGAGGAGTTTGTGTCCATAACGTTTCTATTTTTCTCACAAACACATCTGACCCTGCAGTGATCTCAGGCCAGGTGACTCCTTGGGCCCAAAAATGCAGCTCTGGGGCATCCTCAGACAGCAATGAAATGGTCAGTGCTCTGCAAGGGCTTTGTGACCTCCTGCACCTCAGTGCCTTCCTCTAACAACCTCTAAACAGCTTTCCTCCGGGCAGCTGCTCCTGTGGGGCAGTCTGATATTTTTATTTGGTGATTATTTGTGTTGGAAGAGACAGCACGGCCCCAGAACCAGACCTGCGAGGGAGAATCCATCAGCTCATGAAGATGCAGTGAGGAAAGGACATTATTGGATGGCTGAAAACCTCCCCCAAAACARCAGAACCACTGCAAACACCCGGGGGAAATGAAGGAACCACCCAGAAACTGAGAAAAGAATCAGATATTTCCATAGGACAAATGAAAACAAAAGTTTGGACTCACCAGGGTACAGCTGCTTTGTCGGGGCACTGAGCTGAGCATCTTTTGTTACTCTGTAAGCAACATCTGCTTCTTTTGAAGACCTTCTGCTTGTGCAAAACCCTGTGGTTTTTGTGATACCATCGGGTAAATTGTGAAAATCTAACACCTTCAAGAGGTCTGCAGGCTCAGCTGGGAAGGGAAGAGGAGAAAGAAGGGTTAGGAGATGGCAGGAAAATCAAATCACATAAATTGATCCAAATCACATAAATTTATCGTCCCAGATCTAAACCCAGCTGAAATCTGCTTTCAGTGCACCTGCAAACACAAAGTTGATGCTGGTTTCAGAGCTGGGCTGTGCTCAAAGGGACACTGATCCAAGGGATATTCCATGACATTTCCATGCCCAAAATGGGGAGAGGTGGGAAAAAGTGGGGCACATTGGAAGCGATGGTGTTTGTCTTCCCAAAAAAATCATTATCTGTAATAAAGCCCTGCTTTCCATGGCTCAACACCTGCCTGATGGGGGGGTGGGAAGAATCCGTCGCTTTGTTTTTTTATTTTTATCTTTTATTTTCATTTAATTTAATGATTTACTTATTAAACCATCATTATCTCAACCCACAATGATATTTTCCCCACTTTTTCTCATTCTCTACCCCATGCTAAGTGTCTGCACTGAGCACAAACAGCACGGACAGAGCTTTCACAGAATCACAAATTTTGGTTTCCAAGAAGATCAGCCCAATGTTTGCCTGGAAAATCAATGCAGGTCGTGAGACAGCTCCTAAAAATTTCCACAATCCTGAGGAGCTGGGMCCTCAATGAGAGATTACAAACACAGGGCAAAGCCAAGGGAACACTGTGGATAAAAAAGGAGCTGAGGGAGCCTGGCCTGAGCAGCGAACAKCTGCGATATTTCCTCATCCCTCACCCTCATCAGTGAAAGATGAGCTGTCCCTGCCACTTGGACCTTCCCCCTGCCTTCAGCCACGTTGAATTCCACACAAAATCTCTGCACATCCACAGGCTAAGCTGTGCTTCAGCACCCAAAACACAACAAAACTCCATCTGCGCTTCCAAGAGCTCCAGAGCAGCCAGATCCCAGCACCGACTGAGGGAGGAGAGGGGAAAAGGGCTGTGAATTCCTCCCTCCTGACATCAGCTGGCTCCCCGAGCCAGATGTGGGGGTTTGAGCTCGCTGCTGCACATCCACGGGATGCAGGAATGGGAATATCTGCAGGGGACAAAAGTGTCCCTGAGGGGGTCACTGGGATGTGATGGAGGCTCAGCGGGGCTGGACCCCCTCCAGGAGCCACCAGCCACRGGTTTGGAGCTCTCTGAGTGACTCAAACCCATCCCAGAGCTCTGCAGCAGCGTTCTSATCCCTGCAGGGTGATCCCAGCACCTCCAAACACCACAGATCATCTCCATCCCCAGGGAAGGCCCTCTGCRCCCCCATAACGATGATGGATTGGGTCAGAGTGAGATATCCAAGGATAAAATCAGTCTGGGGCTGCCCAAATCAACTGAAAACCAGGCAGGGAAGGAACTGCCTCTGTTCTCAGGGTCTCACCTCTCCTGGGAATCAGAGAGGAACAGCTAAAACCTCACCAGCCCTGTGTCACTCAGAGCATCCTTGGAGCAGGATCACACTCATCCTTGGAGCAGGATCTGAGTGATCCTTGGGGCAGGATTTCCCTCATCCTTGGGGCAGGATCCCATTGATCCTTGGGGCAGGATAATGCTCATCTTTGGAGCAGGATTTCCCTGACACTTGGAGCAGGATTTCCCTTATCCTTGGAGAAGGATCTCATCCTTGGAGCAGGATCTCAGTGATCCTTGGGGCAGGATCTCACTGACACTTGGAGCAGAATCTCCCTCATCCTTGGAGCAGGATCCCTCTCATCCTTGGAGCAGGATTTCTCTGATCTTTGGAGCAGGATTTCCCTCATCCTTGACCAGGATTTCATTGATCCTTGGGGCGGGATTTCCCTGATCCTTGACCAGGATTTCATTGATCTTTGGAGCAGGATTTCCCTGATCCT